AACAACGGGGAACAACGGTGAACAACGGGGCAGGTGCAATGAACATCAGTGTCGGGCCGAAGCAGACGCCAAGGTTCGCGGTCGTCATGAGGTTCTTGTCGCTGTGTTCTGCGACCCTGCACGACGGCACATACGGTGAACAACGGTGAACAACGGTGAACAACGGGGGAGGTGCAATGAACATCAGTGTCGGGCCGAAGCAGACGCCAAGGTTCGCGGTCGTCATGAGGTTCTTGTCGCTGTGTTCCGCGACCCTGCAGAACATACAGTGAACAATGGTGAACAAGGAGCATGTGATGAACAACAGTGTCGGGCCGAAGCAGACGCCAAGGTTCGCGGTCGTCATGAGGTTCTTGTCGCTGTGTTCCGCGACCCTGCACGATGGAACATACAGTGAACATACGATGAACAACGGTGAACAACGGGGGAGGTGCAATGAACATCAGTGTCGGGCCAAAGCAGACGCCAAGGTTTGCAGTCGTCATGAGGTTCTTGTCGCTGTGTTCCGCGACCCTGCGGAACATACAGTGAACAATGGTGAACAAGGAGCATGTGATGAACAACAATGAACATTAGCGTCGGGCCGAAGCAGACGCCGAGGTTCGCGGTCGTCATGAGGTTCTTGTCGCTGTGTTCCGCGACCCTGCACGGCGGAACATACGGTGAACATACGATGAACAACGGTGAACAACGGGGGAGGTGCAATGAACATCAGTGTCGGGCCAAAGCAGACGCCAAGGTTTGCGGTCGTCATTAGGTTCGTGTCGCTGTGTTCCGCGACCCTGCGGAACATACAGTGAACAATGGTGAACAAGGAGCATGTGATGAACAGCAATGAACATCAGCGTCGGGCCGAAGCAGACGCCAAGGTTCGCAGTCGTCATGAGGTTTTTGTCGCTGTGTTCCGCGACCCTGCACGACGGAACATACGGTGAACATACGATGAACAACGGTGAACAACGGGGGAGGTGCAATGAACATCAGTGTCGGGCCAAAGCAGACGCCAAGGTTCGCGGTCGTCATGAGGTTCTTGTCGCTGTGTTCCGCGACCCTTCGGACCATACAGTGAACAATGGTGAACAAGGAGCATGTGATGAACAGCAATGAACATCAGCGTCGGGCCGAAGCAGACGCCAAGGTTCGCAGTCGTCATGAGGTTTTTGTCGCTGTGTTCCGCGACCCTGCACGACGGAACATACGGTGAACATACGATGAACA